GGCCACTCTGTCTCGCATGTTGTGTACGCATTCAGGCCTAGCCGCCTGCATACATTACTGCACACCGGCCTACCTGCACCCGGCCTCCTGCTGGTGTGATCACCCCATAATTCACCCATACCGGGCCGCTCAGTATCACTCGGGCAAATGTTTCCAGCTGGTCCTCATCACAGGCATGGGCGATTTGTGGTACCAACTCGACGCCTCAACGCCTCACCAATAGGCCTCCCGCCCGCAGGAACCGATTGTACTGTCCCACTCTCCACATGGGCCTGTTTGTGGAAAGACCGACTGAGGCAGGACAGGGAGGAGAGGGTCCAGTTGATCAGTCTCTTTGGTCGGTTCAACGTCAGAGCCTGGCCAGATCGGCTACGAGAGTGACCAAGTAAGGCCCAACGAGAGGCAGGGTGGGCCTAGTGATCGTAAGGCCGATTCGTCTTAATGTATATACGAAGAAAAGTTGTGTTTCTAAGGATCGCTTGGTTCACAATTGTTGAGCCCACTTCCGTTTCGAGTGAAAATCGGGTCGGTGAAAAGATTCGAAGGTCGATCCCACCAGAAGACGACGGCGTACTCCTCTTGACCAACTGTAGATTGGCTCTAGCTGAAAAATCTTGTTGACGCTGAGTTTCCGAGGCAAATGTACTAAACTTTCGTCAGTCATATATCGAACATCATCAGAACATATTATCATTCTTACAACCGTATTCAAGATAGCGAGTTATAAAAGCTTACAGGCTTATCTTTAAATGCTGCGCTTTTTGATGAAGTAGAAAAGGATTTTGCTAATTCAAGTTATATACCAATCTCAATATATTTTAGTGTGTCTGTTTGTGTTGGTTATGTGCACTATTGTTTTCATATAGCTCAAAGTAATCAGAGTAGAATGCAGAGTCTGTTTTTAGTCATCAAGGCTTAATGACTGCCCCTTCCTTTTTCTTTATATTTTAGCCATCATTCAGATTGCCCAATGTCGAACACACGTCAAGTTAAGTTGATAAGCTTTTTGTCTTCGTGTGAAAGAGAAAGTGGCCTTAATTGAAATCATGACCAGAAAAGACTAATTGTTTAGTTTACCTCCATTTTGAGGAACATAGATTTGATAGTCGATCCTATCAAAATACGACAGCTGATTCCTCTTGATCAGTTGTCAATTAGCTTTACTGAAACATTCTTGTTGGCGCTTTTTCCCTCGATTCCGGCGAAAAAATGATAAACTTTCGTCTGTCGTATGACAGACATCTTCAGAGCATAGTATAAACCTTACGATCATATTCAAGCTAGTTTATTTGGTGATCAGACTCATTTCGTGTAAAAATGCCTGATTAAGCAATTGGTAGGTCCATCTCGCCAAAATACGATAGCTGATTCCAGTTGTTCTGTAATCGTTGGCTGTTATTACCATCCTCGGGTCGAGGCAGTCTACGAGACAGTTACCCTCGGATTTCGGGTAAAAACTTGTTCAACTTTCATCCGTCACACCACTTGACGGACTCACTCCTTCAAAAAGCTTCAAGTTTACACAACTTCATGAAGCCTATATTCAAAATAAGCATAAAGTCTAGCCGGCGTCACTAAACACGATACATAAACTCATAATTAAAAACTGAAATATCTACATACAGATGGAGAGCTATGCATAAAAATGATTTGGCTCGACCGAGCTTTCGTAACTTGGTCGGCGCAACAGGGAGATCTCGTAAAGCGTACCCATTCCTGCGTCCTCTGCCAATGCCAACTATGATTCCGGCAAAACGTTTTGGAATCTGCCAAGTCCTCGGTCTGATGCTGGAAATCATCATGAATACTCGAGGTCAAATGACGCAGGAGTAGGTACATTCCACAAGGTCTTTCTGTCGTCTCGTCCAAGGTAAGAAGACGAGGTTAGACCAACAGTATATAACTAAAGGAGACTGCGAACACACTAATGGTCGCGTCATCTTGATCTTCGTGTCTACTATTAAAATGATTTGTTAGTTATTTTTCAGATACTAGCTATGTGTGTGTGTGTGTGGGCTCATGCGTCCGAAAGTTTCAAAGTACGAAACACCTAGTCATAACGCAGAGTCATTTCAATATAATAAGAGTATTATATTGTAGATCGAAACCCAAGAGGTGTCTCATGGATTGCATCAACCTCAGGGCAACAACAGCATTAAACGACCACAGAATAACGGGAATCAGCCGTCGTCTTCTGGTAAGATAGACCTACCAATCGCTTCATAAGGAACTTTTATACGAAATGAGAATTTGCAGGAAGAAGAGATTCGTGGGTCGATCTCACCAGAAGATGACGGCCATTTTCCTGTAACTCTGTGGCCTACTTCGGTTTTTACAGTGAGCTTAGATTGACGAAGGTCTCGGTGGATACTAGCCGAGCTTTGGTCTATCATATACAAAAGCTCCTGGAACGAAGTCATGCTCTTTTCTATCCGCTCAGAGATTAACTGTTGATTTTGTACTCTGCTTTGCATATGTATACACAAACCCATTCGAGCAATCATGTACGTGGATTGGTATGTTAGGGAGCTAAAACCCATTTAATATCTCCTATTGAGAAAATTCTTGTTTGTGTTACGAGGATTTATAGTATGCAAATGAGGGTCTGCTAGTCTTCTTGACTTTGTGTTTAATTTGAGATTATGTAAAAATGAGATCCAGCTCGAAAGATGTCTTTATAGTGGAGTGACAGGCGAAAGCTCGGCCTATATGAAGAGAAGCTGGACTTCAAAGGCAACATTGGTTGGACGGGATTCACGAATTGTCCTCAGCGAAAAGTGAAGAAGGGCTGCCTTGAGGTTGAGGTAAGTCTCCTTGAATTTATGTTCGTTTGTAGATTTCGTAAGAACAAGACGATTTCTGTCTAGAGAAGAGGGCTCAGCCTGTCCTCCCCGCAACTGAAGGAAGATGTCTCCTGGTCTACGTCCACACGAACCTCATAGCAGCGTCGAACTATGGCAGGACAAAGGTAATCTGCCGTTGTCTTCCAGTGAGATTCACCTGTAGGTCGTGTAATTAGGCCCTCTCGTACGAAGTGAAACTTATCACAACAGATTTCCTGTATTCGAAGCAGTCGCCTTAATCGACAATCGTAACTCCGAAGCAACTTTTGGGGTTCCATTCAGGTTATTATTTGAATTTCTCCCAACCCTTTTTCTCATTAGAAATGAAGGATTAAAAATGTTTTATCTTGCATAGAATCTTTGAAACCTAAAATTTTGTCACGAGTGATCTTTGAGCCCTCGAGGATGGACAAATGGAGTGGCCTTGATTCACGGAGAGCCGGACTCATGAATACGAAAATTAAGTAGATTTAGAAGTGAGTTGATCTCATTTTCGCTACTTGGTCTTGTCGTCAGGGCGACTTAGTAGAACACACCTTGTCCGAAGTCATCTGTCTTAGTGTCTTGTCTTATTGTTAACTTGAAAATTCTACAATGTCCATCATATGATGGACGAAAGCTCAGTTCGCTTTCACCTGAAAAGATGGAGTAGGTCTCGTGGACTGCATTAATCTCAACGTCTTATAAAAGCCAAACGGCTGCAGTACAACGGAATTCAACCGTCCTCTTCTGATGAGATCGACTTTCGAATCTGTTACACTTTCGTACGAAATGAAAGTCTCAACAATACTTCCCAGCATCAAACTGTACATTCTTAAGTCCATGGTCTGATGCTGGGAATTATGCTAACAACTATGGCAGAGCACTTCGGACAAGATGCGTTCAACTAAGTCGTCCACACCATCTTGGTCTTCATATCTTCGATTAGGAAAATCTGTTCTTTGCTATATGGCTTCTAGT